CCATTCACAGACAGACGTACGCTACTAGTATAACACACAGTAGTCTACCAGAAAAGTCATTGATCGCTAGAGGTATGAACTTCGTTAGCCCGTAGAAATCCATAAATTAGCCACATCATTGATTAAGCCGCAAGCGTGTGAAAAAAAAATAGGGGCTTATAGTCTGGAAATTATGGTATATATATTTACAGTATATGAGTCTCAATTCCATGGTAAAGGTTTTCTAAACATTATACTGTTAATTAATTCAGCATTTATATCCTTTTAGTAATTTCTCCTGTTTTTAATTTCTCCTTTTCATGACTCAGGACTACAGTCGTGTTCCCCTGGGCTACGAGGATCTGTTCAGGAGGAAGCAGGAACAGTGGGCGCACCATCACCACCATCACAGCACCTCCAGACCCTCCCAGTCCTCCCACATCTTCACCATGGATTTTGGATCTGAGGTGGAAAAACCACTAGAATGTGTAGCTGATTTTATTGAAATGATGATGACGTCTTTGTTAATATTTTCTCGGCAGGTATCTGAAACAGAGTGAAAAAATCCGCAATACAATTTACCTTCTTTTAAATTTCGTGTTGGATTCAATTCCAGTCCCAAAAGCTTGCATTTTAACCGAGTCCAATGCTATTTAAGTGGGAGATAGTTGCTTAGCAACAGTGGAGGACGATATCATAGCAATGCACAATTGTAACTTGTGTGCATGTGTGGGTGTGTGTATGTGAGAGGGAGAGAATAGGTTGAAGACAGACTTTAACAAGCAGTGACTCAGGCTTTCAGCTGACAGAGAGCAGTGTTGAACTTAAGTCCAGACACTTTTTGGACAACATCTACCTTTAAACCATGCTCTAATTAAAGGAGCGGAGAAACAACGGGGACAGATGTCGGGGTAATTGTTCACCAGTCTCAGTTAATGACCCTGATTCTACTGCAACAAGCACAAACAGGCACAACTGTGGTCACGGAGACAAACGGCTCCAATATAATGATGCCCCTGGACTGACAGCAGAGTGTCATGTCAGCACCGGCTGTGACAGAAAGTCCAAATTAGTGAGCAGCCAACTGTAGTGTGTTACAGTGTGTGACATAAATCCACTTCCTTACCTTTGGCTGGGCTTGTTAAATCCCCTGTGACAGCGACCATCAACTACACCCGTCATTAGGCATCTTTGGCCTCAGGCATACTGTATTTTAGCTGCTTTGACATTGATTATTATCATGGTGGACCCACTTGTTGTGTTAGACATTTGTGTGTGTTGTTTAAGGTCAAATTTACTTACATAAAATGTACAAATAACTCGTTAACTTGGCTAATATTTGGCTGCATGATGTAATAGTAATATGTGATGTGACATCAAAGCAAGAAAAATCAAATCTCAATGTAAGTGGTCCTCTGTGGACCAATTAGGCCAAAGGCGTGGTTTAGGGCACAGATTGTAGACCATTCTGTAAATTTTGCCTGAATATATCTCATACTCACACTAATGAACTTAGAACTAACAAGCAAAGGAATGTCAATGATGCCTCTACTGTCCATGGAAAAAGTAGGACTGGAGAAGGAATGCCAAACCTTTATCCATCACTGTCTTTTGGTAGAAATGAGCTCCAACTTCAATCTTCGAGGGAGTTGCTCACAATGTCAACCTGTAAACAACAAACTGCCAGTGTGAACAAATGACTGCCTGCAGTGTAGAGATCGACATCGTCCAGTCTAGAACTCAAAGTTCTCCAGTCTAGGAATCAAAGTCGTCCCGTCTGGAAGTCATTGTTCTCCACTCAGTTCTTCTTCTTTAAAGTCCTTAAATCTAAAACTCCAAGTTCTCCAGTCTAGGAATCAAAGTCATCCAGTCTAGAACTCAAAGTCCTTAAATCTAAAACTCCAAGTTCTCCAGTCTGGGAATCAAAGTCATCCAATCTAGAAGTCATTGTTCTCCACTCAGTTCTTCTTCTTTGCCTCTTCCTCACAGCGTTTGGAGAGCAGTGGAGGTCAGTGTGCTGGCTGCAGGTACAGAGGAGAGGAAAGTTTAGCACATTATTCTCCATGGTCCTGTGGTTCCATTGGCCCGTGCCTTAGTCCTTTTGAGCCTGAGACACTGACGCACACGCCTCCTCACTCCTGCTCAGAGCCCTCGGTGAGATTCAGCCCACTCATGCTGTCCATAAGTACAAACGCCGTCTGATACTAACTACTGTTTGTCTGGGTGTTTTTCTAACAGTGCCCTTTATTTTTATTTGTGCAGGATTTAGACAACAGCGGTAGCCGAGGTGGTGTTGGTGGTGGAGGCGGCAGTGGGAGTACTGGTACCAATAGTGTGGGAAAGCGGTGGCTGCATTCTCTGGACCACTACCGTCGAATGAAAGAAGAAGATCCAATCATTCCCTTCAGTGAGGGGCCCATGATCTCTAAGTGGGGGGCCATATCCAGGGCCTCGCGCACAGGCTATCACACGACCGATCCTGTCCAGGCCACCGCCTGCCAGAGAAGTACCAGCACCACACCCATCAACTTTAAAGGCAAGGAGGGATCATAGAGAGCGTTGCTCACTGTTAAACAGCGTAACAGCGTTACGTTTTTTTTTCAAGTGCTGAGCTGTGTTATGTTCCTCAACCTTTTTCATTTTGAAATCAGAGCAGTCATTAAATTGCTACAAACCTTGAATGGAAACCTGTAAAAGTCCTTGAAATTTTGAATCTAGTCTGTCTGATCATTTTTCTTTTCATGAACATCCCAGAATTTACAAAAAAGAAATCCTCTGAAATACCACCTGTACAAGTGTTTGGACTGATATAATAATTAAATAGATTTTTTTTACTTACACTCATCTGTAAACACAAATAGCTTAGTAGGCACTTGTTAAAGTGAAGCCCTTTATTTTTACC